AGGAGCTTCGTGTGCCTAGAACTATTTTTAAAAGAAAGTAAGAAGGGCGGAGTGGGGGAGGTGGGGGATCCCATGCTAGTTTGTGAGTGGAGATAACGGGGCTCTTGGAATGAGGCCAGAAGATAGTATCTTGCAGGGAACGTCCCTGGACTCTTGCTTCTCAAAGGAAGCACAAACACTATTGCCTGCTATGAGATGCTTCTCTTTCTGGGTGGGATGAGAGGCTTCTGGGAGTGTGGTGACTTATCAAGCCCACTTGCTCATGGAAGCTTGGCCACTCTGGTTGTGTTGGGATTTATCTCCAATGGGTTACTATGCTAGCACAGGGTGAGGTCATGGGTCATTCTGCTTGGAAACCCTTCTCGTTGCCCAGAGCAGAATGTCTGGATTCCTTAACCTGACTTCCAAGGCTCTTCCTGGTGGCTGAGACTCGGAGGCCCCGGGTTGAATCTTTCTTCTCCACACTGGAGGGTCGAAGGAGCTGCTGATTGTGAGCTGTTCAGGTATCCTCACAGATCAGGATAGCTGGGATGTCTGGTTGCCATGGCACGTGTCTGTCCCATCAGAGCCCATGGATAGGGCAGAGGCACTGGAGGCAACTCCCAAGCCGAGTGGCTGTGTGCACGTCCTGGGATCATAAAGAAACCCTCCTCTGTAGAAATAAAATTCAGCCCTCCTCTCACGTCTCCCTGCCAGGAACAGGGAGAATGCCAGGCAGTCCTGTAAAGGCACTCAGACTTTTCACGTTGACTGTACCCCAAGGCTTGGCGGAGGCAGCTGGCTAGAATGGGCCACATCACTCGGTGCAAGGTCTGTTTTCTGTTTAGAAAAGAATTTTAAATTAGTTTTTTTAAGTGCAAGTCACCAGACTGCACGCCCAGTTTGAGTCTGCTTTCTTGAGTCCCGTGCATGAATACAAATACTGATAAATGCTGGTGAGGAAGGCCTGGACAGTTAGAGCCAAGATGCAACAGCCCCTCTTATCTGTGGGCTCCCATGGCGGATGGGTCTCTGGGTAGTTTTAAATCTTTAATTGCTAAATGTTCTACAGTGAACTGAGAGGAGCTAAAATCCAGAGTCTCCTGGAAAGAATTGCGGTCCTGTTTCCAACCCCTGCTCCCCTGGGTGTGTACACTGGGCTAGGAGAGCAGCTTGGGAAAAGTGCCGTAGTGGTCACTTCCTCTAATTCTATCACTGGACACATGGGGACACTGAGTCCCAGAGTGAGAAAGGGTTTGTCTGTGGGCTCCCAGCTGGATTGTGGGTCCTTGTGTTAAGGTCTCTGGCCTCCGCATCCAGTGTTCTTCCTTCTCTTACTCGGATGGGGGAGTTCGGCCTTGGGTACCTACCGCAGCACCGGCCTGCTGTAGGCCTCAGTGAATGTCAGGGGATTTCGGTTTGGGTTTTGTGTTTTTAGAGAAAACTCACATGAGACGCTTTGCTGAGTGCCTTAATGGAACTCGAACTTGAAGTTGGAAACCACAGGGCTAGGCCAGTTCCTAGCAATCCGGAGAGGTCTGGCTCCAGGTGGTCAGGCTTGAGCAGATCTTTGAATAATACACATAGTAATCATTTATTAAGCACCTGCTGTATGCGTCACATCATGCTGGGTCTTGAGATGGGTAAAACAGCCCCTGTTGTCCTTCCTGTGCAGGAGGGTGTGGGCAGGGATCCAGTGCCATGTTGATAGATGTCAGTGGGGGCGTTCCTTGGATTGGATTTTGTGAGCAAGTTATTTCTGAGCCCTTCCCAACCTCTTAACCCTTTTGTCGCCGTGTACCACTGGTTGCTGCTTTCCATTTTCTTCTTCATACTTTTCTCTCCTTTTTGATGTTTTCTGTTAGAAGCACATGTTTGCTTCATAACCAAAGGGGAGCAGCAGTAACTGTCATAATTCGGTGCACACATATAAGCACTGCAGCACTATTTAATTTTGCTGCCAGAAAAGACTTTAAATGATAAAAACGTCTCCTCAGCTTCCTGTCCTTTAGTCACTGCTAGCATGGTCTTCCTTGGTTGTCCTCCTTCGTTGGAGGACAGCAAAACTGCATCCCCCGCCCCAGATTTCAGAGAACTGTGCCATGTGTTTACCGGAGCCATGGTTCCCCTGGCCATTGCATCTGCAGAACAGTGGCTGGCCCACCCAGCCCTAGTCCTAGAGTTCTTGGCTCACTCTTGATCTCACAAGAAAATGATACCTTAGTCCGGGCTCGGTGGCTCAGCCTGTAATCCCAGCGCTTTGGGAGGCCGAGGTGAGTGGATTTCCTGAGCCCACGGGTTCAAGAACCACCCGGACAACTTGGTGAAACCTTATCTCTACAATAAATCCAAATTGTCCGGGCGTGGTAGTGCACGCCTGTAATTCAGGCTACTCAGAAGGCTGAGGCGGAAGGATCACTGGAGCCCGGCAGGTCGAGGCTGCAGTGACCAGGAACGTGCCACTGCACTCCAGTCTGGGTGGCGGAGTGAGACTCCAACTCAAAAAAAAAGAAAAAGAAAATGATATGTTAGCATGAAGGAGCCGTGTAAGTCATGCAACAGAACACTTGCAGGTGTCTAAGTTTTTATTTAAATGTTGCAAAAAAATTATACCCGTATCCTATATCTTCCATATATAAAAAGTCAAATACCCAAATAGCAAAGGACGCGAATGGATTACCATAAAATTAGATCTACAAATGGCCAGTGCAAACCATTTCAAAAGTTAGGTGACCCAAGCATGGCCAAAAATAGCAAGCACCAATGGGATACTAATGACTAAATGAGCAAACACTGATGCGATATCTGTGATTAAATTGGTTAAATAATGATGTATCTGTGAAGGATCAGAGAGTCACATGTCATACCTATCTCTGAAAGAACTTGAAGAAAATAGAGGTGGATATTGACCTCACCCCCCCCTTAAAGTTTTTTTTTGCTCTGCGGAGGAGTAATTGTTGGCTGTTAATCACAAAAAGTTGCATTTTTACAGAACCACTAACCGCAGAGAAACAGTAATGCAGCTAATGGCGAACCTGGCGGATTACCATCCCAGATAACACGGGGGTAGGGGCCAGGCAGATATGTGGGGTGGGGAGGCCCACAGCCCTGACTTTTTTGGAGATGCTTAAAACTCGTAAACACATTACAGGATGGTTGGCAGAATCTCTTTAATTGCAGAGAGGGCTGTTTTCTCTAGGCAGAATCATTTTGAAAAGCGTCACGCGGCTAGCCCATTCTCTTCACCTGGGGTCTGCCAAACGCCCGCTGTCTACCCTGTACTGTGTCGTCTTTGTTTCCAGATCCACAGAGCTTTCCCAGCTTACAAAACATAGCCCATCCCTTCACTTAATCCTCCAAAAACCCTGGCGAGGAGGTGGAACAACAGCTATCCCCCTTTTTACAGGAACAAATTCAGGGAGTCCAAGTGGCTTGCCCATAGCCAGCCCACGTGCTGGTGCAGGGGACAGTGCCTGAAGCCAGGTGCATTCGTTCCCAGGTATATGTGTTCATTTTGTTGCATGCAGAGTACAAACGGGTCTACACATTACTCCATTGCCTTCCATCAGCATTGGAAGTTAGGGATTCTGGTTCCTGTTTTATGGCTGATGATAGGGAAAGAATAGTGACTTCTTCAAGGTACTGATGGGAGGCTGTGTATATAAGAGGAAACCAGGCATTCTGTTTCCCGACCCTGAGGGGTGCATTCCCATCCCAGAGAACCAGTAAGAGCCCCAAGAGATAATTGATGACTGAGAGTCATGTTCTTGGTCATCCTGGGGTTTGGGGACCACCAAGGTTGGAGGGGGGCTTCCTGTAGAGCAAGCACCTGGAGGTTTAGATTTGGTGGGGAGGACCAGGGAAGGGGCCCAGGTAGGACAGTCAGGCCTGTGGCTTCCTCAGGGCCGAAACCAGGTATCTCAGCCTCACCCTTGCCTGTGTGAGTACGGGGCCAGGCACAGACACACTGACCACACAAATAAGCTGAACACAGATCGTTTGGAAGAAGCCAGGCTGGGGAGAGCAACGTCTGCTCACCCCTGGGAAGCATTTGTTGAGGCCGATGTACCAGGTAGATGCCAAAAGAGCAGTATTTAAAGAGAAAAGTGACTGGGCTCGGTAGCTCAGCCTGTAATCCCAGCACTTTGGGAGGCCGAGGCAAGTGGATTGCCTGAGCCCACGGGTTCGAGACTAGCCTGGGCAACTTGGTGAGACGTCATCTCTACAATAAATCAAAAATTAGCTGGGTGTGATTACACGTACTTATAGTTCCAGCACTTGGAAGGCTGAGGCAGAAGGATCGCCTGAGCATATCAGGTCGAGGCTGCGATGGCTGTGAGCGTGCCACTGCACTCCACCCTGGGCGACAGAGTGAGACTCCAACTCAAAAAATAAAAATAAAAAATAAAGAAAAAAGTAGCAGTCTCCCCCCATGAGGGAGAACACACTCTGCCCTCTTTCTCCCTCTCCAGCAATGTTTCCCAGCTGATCTGTCAGCGTATTCATTGAGTTGTGGATATTTGTTGATTGTCAGTTCTACAGCATGCTGGCCACTTGGAGAGGGCTCAGAAACATAGAAACACCTCACTTGCCCACCAGGAGCTTCTCAGAGTGGCCAGGCAGAGCCAGCCCAGGCTTTGTAATGTCAGTACCAGCCACTGCTCTGCAGGAAGGACCTTTGGCATTTGTCTCATGCTGTTCTTACAGCCTCCCTAAATGGCGGGCGTCGTTCCCCCATTTTAGAATGGAGGAGGAGAAGGCTCGGAATTAGTTCATCACTTGCCCAGTGAGGGATACACCTAAGAACTGGGTCCAGGTCTGAATGTTAAACCTGTACCCATGCCATGTCAGTGGTGAGATGACATTCATGGGGATCTGGGAGGGCTTTAAGTAGAAGGTGGCCTTTGAGGAGGACCGGCGGGTGGGGCACGAGCAGACAAGGGGAGCTGAGGGCGGGGGTCGAACTCTGCATCTCTGGTTGTGGGTTTGGCCACTAACTCTCCCCCTTCCTGTCTCCACAGAGTGCAGCAGCTGCCCCGAGCCCTGTGCTGGGCAACATTCCCCCCAATGATGGGATGCCGGGAGGCCCCATCCCGCCGGGTTTCTTTCAGGTATGTGCTGGGCCCACGGGTCTTGTACACCTCCTTGTACTTTTAGGCCGAGGCCCTGGGCAGGCGGGGGGAGACAAGTAAGTAGCTCAGTTTGCCATGGTCTAAATACAGTTGCTTAAGCTGGTTCAGGCCCATCCCTTCCCACCCCTTCCTCCAGCCCCTCTAAAAGCAAAGGGGTGGGGAGAGATGGGAACGCAGACCCTGCCTGTCTTGCCCAGCACTTCTGCTGGAGTATGCGTCCTTCTCGCCAGTTTCGTGGGCACCACCCGGCCAGTTTCTATGTGGAACTTTCTTTTAACAAAAGGCTTTAAAAAAAAAGAAGTAGATTGTTCTTTGTTTCTGTTTTGTTGCCTCTGTTGTTGTCAGTGTTTATTTTGCCTGTCCAAACTACAAACCTTAGGCGTAATCTAAAAAAAACCCAAAAAACCCACCATCCTGGCGGGTCTCAGAATCCTTTCCCTCTGGTTAACCACTTGATTTTTTCCGAGTGTGATCACAGACGGCATCCCACAAGCATCTGTGCCCGCGCTCTGCCCGCCACAGGCAGGAACAGATCCCACGTGGGTCGGGAGCCTGGCCGACACCTTGTTTAGTTGTGTTTTTTTTGGGGGGGGTGCAGTGAAATCAGGCTTTCTGTTTTGCTGGGTTGGGTGCGGCTACCAACCCCTCTGCACCTCCTCCTTCATCTCTAATCACCCCCACCCCTACCCCCAAACCTTCCGTGGCTCATCTGATTTAAGCCAAATGGAGACTGGGAAATGCCGTCTTAGAGAGGTACCGGTGTGCAAGTCTGTAAGGAATTTTCACGATGAAGTCAATCATAACATCTCACATTCATTCAAGCCTGACTGCAGCTGAGTTTGAGAATCTGCCTGAGTTTCCCACACACCTTTTGGAAGGTTGGCACTCTCAGTTAAGAAAGGGCTAGCGCCTAGAAAAGGAGGCAGAGCTTTCCCCGTGAAGTCCCAAAATCCAGAACCAGGACCAGTGAGGAAAAATCTGAGGATACTTGCTTTTGGTACAAGCCAGAATGTAGCACCCATGCATGTCTGGCTTCGAGACTGGAGCTCCCGGGCACTGGAAGCGTCAGACTGAGCTAAGACATGATGGAAGTCTCTTAGAGATATTAAGGGGGCTTCCCCTGGGTGGGAGATGACCTCAGAGATGCTTCTGCTTTGCAAGAGTTTGTGTTCTGGTTGAGGAGGTTATTCCCTGCGAGAAGAGGGCTAGGACTTGCTGCTTACCAGCCGAGAAGGGTGTGAAGACAAAAGCAGTAGCTTGTCCATCATGATGGAAGTAGGAGGAGGAGACAGACGCAGGAGGGCTGTTTAGGGCATTGGATGGCTACACGTGGATCTGTATGCATTCCCAGCATGCTGCCAAAACTGGAATTTTGCCCAAGGTGCAGGATGGGTATAGCTCCAGGTCAGACCAGACCAGGCGCTGTCAGGGTCTTGGCTTGGGGGAAGGCCACAGACATATTAAAGAGGGGCCCACAGAGTGAGAGACCTTAACATCTTTGGAAACCCATGGACTGAAGTAAGACAGGAGCTGTGTGGGCTGCTGCCCTTCCCCCAGAGGGAAAACCCATGGGGCCACTGTACGAAAGGATCACCCATGCCAAAGGCAGTCATCTTCCTGCCTGCTACGGGTGATGTTCTGCACCCATCTGGTGGTCTTTCCGCTGGCATTCTGTCCAATTGGGAATTCTTTCCCGGGTTTGCAAGCCGAGGATGCCCTGCTATGGTGCAAGTGTGACTTCCATGCCTGGTACCCAGGTTCCCTACTTCACCCTTGTGCACCCTCACTGAGGCTACTTGGCTGGCATTGGGGTGTCCATCGCAGGCCACTGCTGTGGAAGGAGGTGGACAGTAGCCAGTTGTGTTTTTAAAAATAGGCCGTTGACTTCTATTTTGGCTGAGTTTGGGGCAAAGCTCGGGTCTGCCTAACATGTGGACAGCTCCCAACTTCCCACTTTGGTGTAGCTGCCCATGGTTAGGGCCTAATTCCAGACCTACTTCTTGGGCCCTCCCCTGTGACGTTTTGGGGTGTGTGGTCAGAAAGCCAAGACTGATTCCTGTCCTTATTTAGCCACCACCAGCCACCATCCAACGGAGGTAACTTTTGGACCCTCCTGACTTGAGGTCATCTCTGTTCTTCAGTGTGGATGAGTGGCTAAGAGCTGGCTGTGCCATCCAGCAGCGCGCAGTGCGTCTTGGCCTCTCTGCTCCCTGGGTGGCTTCGGGTGGCTCTCTTCTCTCACCTCCCAGCATCAGTTCCCCATCAGGAAGATGAAGGGACGCAGGCTAGGCCAGATACTCCACCTGGTCCTTCCTGGCTGTGGTGCTGAACCACTCAAGCTGGGCCACTGCCGAGGGGAAAGGGTATCTCTCTGGAAGGAGGTAGTGGCTGCCTATTTCCGGAGCAGGCTGGTGCACGACAGGAATATTAGCTATTGATTGCTGGCCCTGCCCCTCACTCATCTTGCAGGCGGCCACTCTGATATTAGAAGGGAAATAGAGATGGTATCGAGGGTTTTATCTGCTGCCAACAATTGCACTTCTTCCCCTGCTTGGCCGAGGCCTGAGTAGGCATCTCTGCTGTGGGAAGGCTTTGCACCAGGACGTCAGCCTGGGGTGGCTGAGCCAGCTCTGGCCAGACCCTGACCCACGATGGCTGGCCCAGTTTTCAGGTTAGAACTTCAGCTCCAGCTAGATCTAAATTAAGAAGCCAGCAGCCTCCAGGGTGGATGGGGGCGTGGAGCTGCCGTCCACCCCTCCCCCATCATTGCCCCTCAGAAGACAACACAGACCCTTCCTTCTTCAGACTTCTGACTGCCAGGCTTCGAGGCTGCTCCTGGGGTCAGAAGCAGCATCAGGGTCTGTCTGTCAGCCTTTTCTTCTTCAGTGTTTGGGTTTCCAGGGTGGGCAGTGCCTGTCTGGTCCTGTGGCATGAGATGTGTCGTAGCAAATTAAGGGCTGGCAGGGAGGTGGTTTGGAAACTGACCCGACCACACCTTGCTGTTGGGGAACAGTGTGGGGTTCTTGGGGTCTTGATAGAATTTAGCAAGGGCATTCTAATTCTGTGTTACTTACTTACAGAAAAGACTGCCCAAGCCTGGCATCCTCGGCACCTGGCATATACTAGGGGCCCAGTACGTGTTTGAACTGGGTTTGCTTTTGTTGCTCATGTTATGGGAGAGGAGCCCAGTCAGCCCCACACAGTCAGATCCGGCATTCTGACCAGGGAGGGTCTAACAGGAAGCCGGCCTGGGAATTTGGGAGTGGTGTTCTGGTGTTTTGGAGTGGGGAAGGGCAAAGAGGACTTGGCCACACACTTGCTGAGTGACCTTGGGCAAGTTGCTCCCCATCTCTGGACCTCAGTTTTCTCACCAGTAGATGAAGCAGGCTGGACCAGATGGTCTCTGAGGGCCCTTCCAACGTTGATTTTCTGCTTTGGATCCAGATGGATTTTACATAATCAAGCAGTGGCATTTTTTTTCACGCAGCTTAACTCAGTTAGGCTGCACATCTGGCAAACCCAGCTTGGCGTTGGCCAGGCCCGCTGGTCTGGGTGAGTCCCCTAGTTCCTTGGTTCCTATAAGTGGGGCACCGTCCAGTATGGATTTCTAAGTCCAGAACCAGAGAATTACAAGAGGGCAGGGGTCACAAGTAATAGAGCATTGGGTACAGACTGTTTTTGTTCTTGTTTTGTTTTTAAATTCCAATAATTGTTTTCAGCTACGTTGTGTTTTTCAACATGCAGCTTACTTTCGTTTTGGTTGCAATGGTTCTGCAAAGGAGGCATGGCAGTTTGGGAAAGTGAGACTCAGCAAGGTGAATGACCTGTCCAGAGTTGTCAACAAGGGCTTCATTGGAGTCTAAACCCAGGCTTCCTGGTTCCTGATGTGTAGTGTTCTGCCACAGACACTCAGAAGCTCAGATGTTGATCCAAGTCTGATTGTCCAAAGGAAGCAGACAGACTAGAGAACAGGAGAAGGGGAGGAAGAGAGTGGAGAGAGATGCAGAAACCAGCACTCCCTTCTCTCAAAAGTAGCAAATAAGTTTCCTTTGAATCGCCAGCTCGGATTGATTCGTGGGGGCAGCTCAGCCCACCATATTGAGAATGATTCTGAAGCTATGTCCAGGCTCAGCAGATACTGACTAGCAATGACTACCGCAAACATGAGCGTTTCAGGGGAGGCACAACTGCCGTTTATTTGCCTTCCCCAATCTCGTTCAGACACGTATAGACGCGGAAATGGAATCCCAGAAGGAGAAGGGACTGTGCCTAGTGACAGTTGTCCGTCACACTGATGTGCAAGGCACAGGGCTTGGCTCTAGGCTAGAACTGAATCGGCCATCGTCTGCACACAGGAGCAGCCAGCCTCCTAGAGGGGTGACAAGGGAACCTGTGCCCTGTAGTGGCAGGATAGAGGACAGGCCTCCCTGCCAGGGTGAGAGATCAGGAGGGGCTTCCTGGAGGCAGGGCAGCCCTGGTTGAGACAGTGTCCAGAATGAGGTGGGAGATGAGGCTGGAGAAGCTGCCGGGCAGTTGCTGATGGACCTTGCTGAGTGTGGCTTCATGCTGTGGATAGTGGAAAGCCAGTGGAGCACTCTGGGCTAGACAGTGCCTTGGCCGGGTCTGGGTCCTGAAACAGTTACTCTGCAACTGCATCTGCTGCTCTGTGGAGGCAGGGACCTGGGCGCTGCCACTGGTGCTCAGGAAGTAGCTGATCACTCTGATGGTGGATGCTGGCGTTACAGAGACCTAGCAGAGGATATATGGCTAAAGACCATGCCTTTTCTCCAAAGACAGTTCTAGGGGAGGGGTCCCAGTTCTCTTTACTAAAAACCCAGCCCGTCCTGCTCTGAAAACCCCAGGATATTTTCCACCAAGGCTGGGGACAGTAGGGAGTGATTGACACATCTCCTCCTTCCAGGGAGTCCTCATTCCTGCTGGCCAAGCCCACTGGCCTTAGAAAGAGGTTGAGGTCTCTC